GGAAGGATTCGAAGGTGGCGTTAAGCCACAGTTGCAGAAGCCAAAAGGGACCAGATAGCAGCAAACTTCCTCTGTCTCCTAGAACCTTAAGTTGAGTCACACCATTACTGTTGGACTCATATAAGTTGGCCAGAATCAATTCGGCCAACAAAGAGGGTATTTGTGATGGAGATGTGTTGCAAGCGTCAACATCTTTTTCGTCACCTGCAGTGATTTAGTGCAGAAAACAAATCGAGACAGCCACATGGCCAAGAAGGCTATGTGCTCCACCTCCTACACGGTATTTGAGGCCTTGTCATGAAAGTGGTTTATGAAGGTAGTATAAGTAGGTTTGGTAGCAGCAAACCCAATAGGATCCTCAGACAAGTCTTCAGGGTCGAAAGAGTCACCAGTGGGTCGAAGACCAGTGATTGCAGCTATGTCGAACAAAGTAGGGGTCATCATCCCACAAGGAAGATGAAAAGTGAAATGTGCACTATCCCAAAAGTACAATGAGAATACCAGCATAAGGGGGCAATAAGGTAACCCTGTCTTCGACAGCATCACTAAGTCATAGATGCCCATCTCCTTCCAGACAGAAGCTTGCACCCTCTCCATTTTATTCAACCAGTCGGAGTATTCAGAAGAAAGGTTAGGGCTTGATCGAAAGATTTGATTCCCTTTGTTCATGAACTGGAGGTTGATATCATCAGTAGTTCGAGGATGTTGTTGGTTAGCTGGTGTAGCATCTTCAGGGTCTGCCCTAGGTTTTTTGGCACAACCTATGGGTCTAAGCCTTGGGTGTGTAGGAAAAAAGGCACGGTTTTTTAAGGGATTTTTGACGCATGGAGATAACGGGCCGGACATAGCATACATGTTTCCGCCGTATCTGACGGGAATAAGGAGTTGAGAATCATAGGCTTCTCTCCATTCTCTCACAGGTTCAGCAATGTACCTGTTAGTCGAGGAAGAAGGAGGGTTGGTGGAAAAGATCTCTGGTGGTTTCTGAACATCATTATCATTTTTTGGTTGCGGATTGTTTGGGGAATTAGAGAGAAAGGTCATTGTTAAAGACTTAAGAGAAAGAGCGAAGGTGACAGTACATTGTTGTGAGAATGCAAGGGGTTTGGAAAAGCTGAAAATGATAAAAGTTCTAAATATAAAAGCTTGGAAGTATTTATAGCCTTCAGAAGTGGGAGATGTCTCGTCAAAGGCATTTAATTTTTCGTAGGTAGTGGGGCACGTGGCAAGGTATGAAACGATTACCGTGCAAGCATTGGGAAACGTTGGGACATGCTTTCCTAGATTATAGGAATATGGCCATCATGGCAAGCGTGGTAACAACAGTTTTGAAGAGACATCTTGGAGAAAAGTAATGATGGTTTTACCAAGTATAGCAGTTGTTGGAAGGCGAAAAGCACACGTCAAAAACTTGGTGGACAACTGGGAAGACAAGTGTTGAATGGGAAGTTCAAATAATGGCTATTTCTTTGGGCGTCGAAATAGACATTCTTGGGGGGAAATTTGTTAGCTCCCAGATTCGACACTTACTATATTTGGTCTTTTGGACCAAACAACTGGAATGAACTAAACCAGGAGGTATGATTCGAAACACGAGATAACTTAGGAAAAAGGATCTAAGTTATGATAAGAGCCTTCGACCGAGGGTTCGTTTAACTAAAGCAGATTTAGGTTGTTCGATTGAAGGAAAGTGTTCGCGCGTTGGCACATGGGACAAATACCATTTGAAATTTGAATTATTGGAGGGAAAGGTAGTTTTCATCAGCGTCTAAGGGAAGGGAACGTGGAAAAAAGCTATGGGTTGAGAGGCATGCAGAAGACACTTGTCTTCATCCTAGCGCAGAATGTCCCCTCGACGGTTACCTACTTTTAGTATAAATTAAGAAGTTTGTGTAATTTTTAAGTGTGTTCAACTTATGGTACAAAATCTCTCAAATATTATCCAAGTAACTACTGCGTGAGAAAGGATAAAAGCAGAGCAATGTACGTTAGAAACACCTTTTTTACTTAATAAAAGTCTTTTTACTTTACTTTACCATTATCCTGCAAAGTCAACTTTTTATTTCTTTTACTTGCATTTTTATGCTTTTGCTTACTGTTCAACAATCTTAAACATCTTTCCCCTGGGTCGAAAGTGCGTTCTTCCTTCTTACTCATTTTACATAAAGATTAGCATATATTCTGGGATTAGTTTGGTCGATCCCGCAAGTAAACCAAAAAAACTTACCTTTTGGAGACCAACGGTTGTTTACCAAAAACCACGGTAAACAGGTTGCCGTATGTGAAGGAATCAAAGCAGATATGTGAGGAATGCTGCAAATCTAAACAGAAAAGGAAGGCATTCAAACGTGACTTGCCTATAAGATCAAGGCAAAAACTGGAGCTGGTTCATTCAGATGTGTGTGGACCCATTGAAGTAAAGCCCAATGGAGGTAACATGTATTTCCTTACTTTCATTGATGAATTCACCAGACATATGTGGCTTTAACTTATTGAAAGA